GCCATTTCGAGTGGTCTTGTTCGGCTTTTTGGTGAAGATATGGCCGAACAAAAATGAGAAAAAGGAGGACTAAAAGAATGGTGTAATAAGAAGTGAAAAGATGGAGCTTGGCATTGGGAGTGATAAGGTCAACATAATGGAGTGGGAAAAGTTTAAGATTCTATGACACAAATATATTTATGGGAGAGGTTGCTTGGAAAGGGAAATGATAGTCGTTATGTGTCGCGACTTCGACTGAGAGCGGATGCAGCTGGATTGAACGGCCAAAACCAGCGATTAGTAGGGCTTCTCAAATTGACGATCGAACGTGTAAAGCTACCCCACACCCAGGATTTCAGAGCTACATAATACACTAAAGGAGTGGTTGCAGCTGCATGCATGTACGTTGGTTTCTCTACTGTGCCAAAATACACTAGTACTAGTATTTGAGAGTGATTAGCTATAGCAAGGGTATATAATAAATGAGGGTGTGTCACGCCCATACAAACCTGCGGCGGATGATGCGGGAGGGACCGTCGTATCCGGACCGCCCGGATGACTTTTTTGCTGAAATTTGATTAAAATGCGCTGCGCGGCCGCGGATGGGCGCTTGGGTCTCTGCGCATGTAGCGCTCAGAGCATAGCTTTTCACGGCGCATGACGACACCCCTTGCATGCGCACTATTCGATTGTACATATGAGTCCTTCGAAACGTATGAAACGAATTCAGATGCGCTGCGTAAGCCAACAAATAGTGCGAAGTTGAACATGCCTTGGACACACAAACATGAAAATGGAGGCCTTTCACGGCTTGCCTTAAAACCAAACTTTGCAGGCACTTTTGCCACGTACTGATTAACGTGCTGACCGAGTTTCGTCCCCATATGAGCCGCCGCAGACCGCCATTTAGAGCGTCATCGCAAATCCTGTGTTGCGTGCATTTAGCTAAGTTGTGAAATAGACGTAGTATGATTGCTTGTGGCGCCGGCTGGAAGAGGTTGCGCAGATTTTGCAAGTCACTGCCCGTTTCATCTGTGTTCTATTTTATGTGGAGGGAAACGGGACGCAAAAAGTAAAAATTGTGATTTCGCACAGGACATCCCGTCTCTGTCAGCATTCGAATGCAGACGAAGACGGGAGCTACCTCAAACTTGATTTCGCAAAAAATTCGAAAGAATTCCATCCTCGTCTTGTCTTGTGCTACTGCTGCAATAGCGTAACCTTATCATAATCGATGTTGTCGTCCCGCGAGCTTGTGGTGCTCCATCGCCGCAGTCGCCGTATGTCTCGTCACGCCGCCGTCAGCTCCTCGAGCTGCTCCTCTCGGTTACTGAGCGGCCGTTGGTTCCGGACACGCGCCTCGACCTCGACTCGATGAACGACGCCGATGCAATCCTGCATTTCCGCTTTGACGTGGCTTCTTTGACGCGCCTCTCACGTGCCCTTCAACTCCCGGCCGTCGTTATCACCGAGGGTCGGGATTGATGCCTCGCTGTCGAAGCCCTTTGCGTTGCTCTCAACCGCTTGGCCTACCCTCGGCGGTACTGCGATATGATGATCATGTTCGGTCGGTCGCGTGAGTCTCTGTGGTGAGGCTCTGTGCCGCATACACAACCGCCCGTGCCTCTGCTCTTGTCTACCAAGAAGGGACGCTCGTTGTTGGCTTGGATGAGGAGGATGAGGTCGTCTTCCGCAGACCACCAAGTCGTGGTTTGGCCCATCGTCCCCGCCGACGCTGGAATCGTTCGAGAGGAAGCGTGACCCGAGTTGTTGTCTTCGTCGTGATCGGGGCGGTGGGGGCGGTCGTCGTCCGACGAGATCGGCCGGTTGTCAGTCATCGCGCCAAAATGAAAATGATGTGGGCGCGAAATGCCGACAGGTTAAATAAGGTTAAAACCTCACTCACGGTTTGACGTACTTTAACCTGTTGAACGAAGACGGGAGCTTCGGTCCCCGTTTTTGATCGATTTACAGGCGAATTTCACGATTAGTTTTCAGAGACTTCCCATTTTTTAAAATTTATGACAGGATAAAACCGCAGACGGAAACGGGAAGTGACTTGCGAAATCTCTCCAAGTAAATTCTAGCGGATTTCCAATTAATTTCTAGCGGATCCTCTCTAGGATCGATTCCTCGCAAACCGTGCGGCGTGCGTCCTCGTGAGCCTCGGTGCCGCTTGCCGAGGAGGAGTCGCTGGTACTCCAGCGACTCCGACAGCGGTTGCGTAAGCCGTGCGGCGAGGACGACCTCGTCGATGCCAAAAAGGCATAAAGTCCGATTGTTGGGCGACAACAAAGCATGTCGCTCGAGCAACCTGCGTGATACAAGCGACTACTCCGTGGCAAGCGACACTTAGTCTGACGAGGACGCACGCAGTACAGTTTGCGAGGAATCGGTCTTAGAATGAAATCCGCTAGACGATTCAGTGAAAATCCGCTAGAATTTAATTATCACCCCTGGATTTCGTGTAAAGTCGCCGACACTACGGCGCAGAGAAGCGGCAAGGCAGGATCGCGCTGCCTTCGTGACCAATGCTATAGACACCGACCAACGCATTCGATTGGTTCCACATCTCGGTGCGGTGCGACACGACGATGAACTGCGTCTTGGCTGCGGCCGCAACCAGGAGCTTCCCGAGCCGCTGGACGTTGTACGTATCCAGCGCCGCGTCGATTCTTTGAAACGCGGATGAGGCGCAGGGATTCGCGATGGCACTCGTACCGTCGCAGATAAAGATGGGGCACACAAAACTGGCCTGGAACGACAGCAGCAGCTACGAGAGAAATGAGTGTGTCTTGCGCGAGTGTTCAGATACCGAGAGCGCGCAGAGCACTTGCTGGCCGCCCGAGAGGCCTCCAAACTACTAGGGCATTCCGAAAACGCGACGCATAGAAAAACTCGCACCGGACGCCACTGCTGCGCGTCGGGCTTGCAGTGGAACGTAATGCCTTCGCCAAAGAGCGTGGTCGTGTCGAGCGAAAAGCCGAGGTAGCAGTCGCCATCCTATTTGAGTCTGCGGTAGAATGTCGTTTACAAGTACCAGTCTACCTCGCAAAGGGACCGGTACATCTCGGGCAAATGCACGTTAAGCGTCGTGAGTGCGTCCGTGAGCGTCACGTAGCTGATTCATTCGCCTGAATCAGCACAGCCCCAAAGGCGCACCATCAACGCACCGTTGGTGCATGAGGTGGTTGCGGGCTTGCAGTGTTGTCGCGAGCACTTGGTTGAGGTCCTCGGCGCGTGTCTGGGCGTCCGTCAAATCGTGGCGCACGACCGCTGCTTCTGTGAGAACCTCCTTGGACATGGTCGCCTTTTCCTGCTCGAGCAACCTAGGCCTCGATGACGACACACGCTTCAGGACCGAATGACGGACCGGCGCGTTTCATCGAGGCAGGTACGCGCCGCCACGAGGTCGGTCCACGATTCTTTTGCCGCCAGAAATGTCATGCTTGCCTCGCGATCTGCGCATGGACAAAGACGACGACGATAGTCGTGCACGTCGGCACGAATCTGCGCCACGCGCGCACGCACACGAGCCAGTTCTTGGGCCAGAGCCTTTCGACGCTGCGCAAGACGGTCCATTTCAGCGCGCGTCGTAGCGAGAGTGCTCCGGTATGCATCGGCGGCCGTGCGCTGGTCGGCGCAGCGGGCTTCGGCCTCGTCCATGGCTACCGTAAACGCCTCGAGCCGATCGAGAAGCGTCGCCTCCCGACTCGCTATCTCGTTTGTCTTGTCGCGCCAGAGCGCCTACGTGGCAGTGAGGTTTCGTTCACATATTGTAGCGCACCTGCTGTGCCTCCAAGGCCGCAATGCATCGCGGCAGCGCCTCGAGCTCACCAAACGCGTGCTCCAGATGGCGCTCGGCCTGAGATAGACGCGTCGCACAGGCGTGGTGACGCTCAAACAGCATGTGGTCAGGTGTTGCCAAGCAAAGTTTTGCGTCGAGTTGGTACAGCGCTTGCGTCCAGCGGTCTCGATCGGCGAGTGCCGCGTCCAGCAATGGCTTGAGACGCTTCCGCTGCGTCTCGTGTCGAAGAACGTCGGCGCGGTGCCCCTGCAACGCGCGCTCGAGTGCCATCATCGACGTCTAGTACGAAGTTCAACCCATAAACACAAAGCGTGCGTGCCACCGTGGCTGTTGTCGACGCCAACTGCCATCGCTGCGCGTCACCAAGCATCTAGTCACCGACATAGCGTGCGGATGCATTTTTGGCGCCTCTCGCCGTACCTCGGTTCGGGAGGCTTCGAGGACCAATCGCGTCTTGCGTGCTGCGTCGATGAGACCAACGAGACGACGAAGCTCCTTTTGCAGGGGTGCATCGGAAACGACAGTCGTGCGCTCGGCACTCGACTGGATGCGCCATGCCGATGCGTCGTTGCGCGCCGTCACCTGGATCTCGCCGTCGCTTCGAAACAAATCGCCGTTCCGCGTCACGTAGTTGGCATTCTTGGTCCGCGGTCGCGCCAACGCCTCTTCGGAGCTCGCCACGACGCTCCACGACCGGCAGTACTTGTGAAAAATGGATCGGACGGCGTCGTCACATGCAACGAGACGGCAGACCGCGTTCGGCCCGTCGTCTGCGCACGACCCGGCGACCTCGTCCACGATCGCGCACGTCACCCGGCCGAGGCGGTGGGTGCGAAAGTGCGCGGCGATGGTAAGACCCACGTCACGCGAGCGCACGACGACGACCTTCAAGTGGCGTTGGAGGACGCTGTTGACGGCGGCTGCGTGGCACGGATCGACCGTCGCGAGGTCGCAGAGAACGCCGTAGACAGCATCACCACCCAGTTGCCGCTGTAGCACCGCGACAGCGCGGCGAAACACATCGCTCGACGCTTCGTGCGTGGCTTCTTGGACCTGCCACCGCTCATGCTCGAGGGTGCGCAGAGTGTTTTCGATAGCCTCCAACTCGTCTTGAGCGACGCGCAGACGTTCTTGCGCAGCCGCGACGTTGGTGGCCACGTCCGTCTGGCGCATGGTCGCCTCGTGGAGCTCCTTCGTCGTGGAGGCGACGGCGCACTGCGACAGGTCCTGCGCTATCGTGAGGGCGTGCTTCTCGGCCTCAAGACGCGTCTACGCAGAAACACTTTTACCGCGGCCGCCCATCACAAGCCAACGCCAACCAGCGTCGCCACCGATCGCTCGAGTGCTGTGCCGCACTCGGCTTTGCGTTCGACCCACTCGGCTGCAGCACTGCTCGACGTATCGGCTGCCTCTGGAAACTTTGCCATCTCGGCGCGCAGGGTGACGACCACTGCTTCCGCGTCGTTCACGTCCCGCAAGCGCTACATGTATTCCACTAGATATGGATATCGAAGCCATGGAATCCACACCTTGGTTTTGGACGCTGTGGCTGCTTGGAGCTTCTTGGCGACGCGGTTGCTCGCCGTGGACGCGGCATCCGCGTCGCGTGCAAGCACGACAAGCTCTGCACGGACGTGCGCGAGTTTGGAGGCGGCTTGCGTTCTTTTTCGCGCCAGCATGCGCCGACCGTCGTTGGCGTCACTGAGCGTGCGCTCTTGTTGCGCTAGCATACCGCGGAGCTCGCCTTCCGCGACGACATCGGCCGCATCCGACGCCGTCAGCTGGGCATGTCGCTGGAGCGCGTCGTTCTCGTGCGTCTCCAGATGCGCCACAAGGGCGTGCAGCACGTCTTGCTCCTGTGCTGCGAGCGCCACTTGGCGTTCTTCGAGATGGCCCCAAGCGTGGGTCCATTGGAGAAACTGGTCGACCTACGTCATAGATGCCATCGCAGGCTTCAAACGGGTCCCCGAAAAATGCGCGATCCGCACCAAGGGCTGCAAACGGTCCTGGCGCGTTTGCAAGTCGACCGTCGCGGCTTCAAGCTCGGCGAGCGCATGCATGTCATCGTCGATCTTGTGTTGCAGGACAACGATCTAGAAGTTGAGATATAGTGTTAATATAAGACGTGTGGGATGTGCAGTGGCACCTCCTGGCGGTAGCTGGTCGTGCCACTGGACCGGAAGGGGTTGCAATCGACGTTAGCCACCACATGTACGCATCCCAGACGCGTACATGATGTGCTCGCCTATCCAGCCTCCATGAGCTTCCCATGGCATCCGATATAGCGTCCACGTACAAAAGGCGAGAAGCTCCAGCGGTGTGTACTGCGCGACCGCGATCGTGTTGCTACGTAGGATCATCGCCCGCGCAGGCTCCAAGCAAGCACGTACGCTTGTCGGATGATGAACCGGTCTTGGACCGCCATGTTGATTCCTCGCATCTGCAAGGCGCTGCGGACAGCGTCGGCCGAGCACGCGACAAACGCTGCTCCGTCGCCGGTTCGCATGGCGTACGTCGACTGGCCTGCGCCCTCGACGACCTTGCGCCGGATCGTAAGTCCATCACAGAGCGTCGCCACCACGGATGCACTGCGCTTCGTCGCGCCGTGCGTGATGAGCTCGTCGAGACGCAGGACCCGGAGGTGCTTGGCCGGCGCGCCCAAGGCGAAGGCAATAGCGTCCACGAGGCAGCTCTTCCCGCAACCGTTGCGACCAAAGATGCAGACGACGTTGGTCGCTCCGAGCGCGCTCAGGTCGACGGTCTGCGTCCCCGCCAGCGACTTGAACCGCTTCGTCCGGACCACGGCCAGCATCGTGGAAGATCGCAACTGACAAATAGTGTAGTACTAGAGGCATTAAATACTGTACGATATTAATGTAATGGTGTGACGTGCGGGCTTGGTGCCAGCGCGGCTTCTCGGCACGACCGAGTGTGCAGACGTGCGATTGCGCAGCGCGTCCTCCTCCACTGGAAGCAGGCTGGACCGTCCTGTAACGAGTAGTAGCAGCTGCGGCACGACGGCGGTTGTGAAATTCGCTTGTCGCGACCACTTGGCGCAGAAGAAAGGACGACGCGCCACGTGTCCATGCCTGCCAGCGACGATCGGCGCGCGTTCTTGGCCGCCGCCAAGGCCGGCGACGTTTGCGCCATTGCGGCCTGCTTGGCCGACCGATCGTGCAACCCCAACGCGCACGTGGGCAACGGCTGGACGGCGCTGCATTTCGCCGTCTACCATGGCAACATGGACGTTGTCCGTCTCCTCGTCGCGAGCCCGCGCGTCGACGTGAACGCGCTTACCATGTACATGAGTATCGTACCGTCCATGCAATCAGGACCATGCGTGTAGATGCGGCACGTCACCCATTGCTCTCGCCTTGCAGCGCCAAGGGTCGCGCATGCTCGAGATCCTCCTCGTGCATGGCTGCCGTCGGACCACGATACGTACGTCTCCTTCTATAGCACCCACGGCGACGACGAGATTGACTCTTGTGTATAGCGCCTGCGATGCATCGCGCAGTGTCGAGCCTCTCGGAGGACGTCCAGCACAAGCTGTCGCCGGCGTGGTCGGTTGTGTGGACGCCATTGCTGCACCCCCGGTTTCCGCAGCTGCAACGCGACGTCTGCTTTGTGCTGCTCTGCGCCAACGCCGGTCGGCACCGAAGGGGGTTCTTCTCGGCGCTGTGGCCCCGCGCAGCACGAAAGACGCAGTGGGTCTATCTCCCGCCACCGCTTCTCGATCGCATTTTGGAGTATTATTTCTGGCTCGACTAAAATCGAATCTTACGCGGCCTTGTACCCGGCCATTCCACCCGATTGCTGGACGAGCATCTTGGTCTTCTCGCTGTACTGTTCGTAGAGCTTGTCGCTCCTACAAACACAACGTTTACAAAGCAGCGCCAGCGGTTGGGAAGCATACTGGGGCACGCCCGTGTCACCCTTCTTGTACATGACAGCGAGGTTGTGGCACGCCGGCGCAAAGTTGGCATCGCACGCTTGTTCGAGGTACGCCTTGGCTTTCGGCACATCGCGCTTGAGACCAAACTTGGACTGCGACGTAAGGAACATGCTCCCGAGGCGGTAGCAGCTCGAGCCTTCGCCGTTCGCGCACGCCTTGTCGATCGCCGCCATACCCTTCTCCACGTCCTGCGCACATGTACGATGACATGCAGTACGTCGTTCTCGCACGCATACCTTGGTCACGCCCATGCCGTTGAGGTACATGAGCCCCAAGTGGTGGCACCCGTGCGTATGGCCGCCGTCGCATGCCTTCTCTACAGACCCAAGTCGGTTCGTATGCGCATGTAGGGTGCGTGGTCCATACCAAAGTGTTGCATGGCGGCCGCGTCATTGGCCTCGACGCCCTTTCCAGCAACTAGCATCGATGGACGTATGAGACCAACGATCGATAGCCACGTCATGGCGTACGAAGCAGGCGGCCATAGTTGAAGCACGAGGCACCATACGCCTTCTCATCGCAATTCTTCTTGTACACTTTGCCTGCGCGGAATGAGATGCTAGCAACAGAGGCGTCGCGCACCTGCGTGGTCGTAGTTCTTGTCGACGACCGCCAGCCACTCGCCGTAGCTGTGGCACGCGCTCGCGTCGCCTACGCCGCTGTGTGCAGCCACCGACGTATTGAGAGAGGATGGTACCATTGCCGTCGTCGCAGTTGGAGACGAACTCGTAGTGGCGCTTCTCGAGCTCCTCGTTGAGGCGCGAGACTTCGGCGGGGCTCTTGTCGCTCATGGCAATTTGGCGTTTGCCAGACCGCGTCTCATTGGCTGTTTCATGCGTGGCGCCGATTGGTCGACAGAATTGTGTCGAAAACAGTGTTTCGAATGCACTGTTTTGCTCTAACACTAGGTGGAGTGCGCCAACAACCCCACTTCGAAAACAATTAGCTGGAAGAGAGCATGTCGAAATCGAATCTTACGCGGCCTTGTACCCGGCCATTCCACCCGCTTGCTGGACGAGGATCTTGGTCTTCTCGCTGTACTGTTCGTCGAGCTTGTCGCTCCTACAAGCACAAAAGTATAGAAACGCTGAAAGCGCCAATGCACTGTTTTGTTTAGACTCCAGATGGAGTGATGGCACCGTGCTGCGTGGTGCTAGACTCGTATCGGAGGGATCCATGCATCCAAAGGAACGATTTAGTCTTATTAAATTAATACAAGCACGGGCACCGCTTTGTCGGGTGTGTTTACATGGCCTTCGTCGTCGTCGTTTGGACGGCCACGTTGGGCTCTATTTGCGCCACGTGCGCTGCGCGACAGGACTACGCTCATAATGAGTCGACATATACCAGTGGCTCGCTAGCACGTACCACACGAGATAGTCCAGCGGGGTCACTGCGGGTGGACGCCGCGCGTCGTGCAGCTGAAGGCTCGAGAAATGTACATCCAGCGTCTCGACTAATCCCCAAAAAGGCCGTTGTCAGTCGAGCACTGAGAAATGTGTACTACCTGGGAGCGGATTGAGCGGGCGAAATTCCGCGCACTGCGACCGCATCTTCTTGCGGAGGCTTTCGCGGTCTTCGTCGGGACAGGCCGTGCCGCGCACACCGCCAAATGCCTCGTACACGACCTCCTTCCGGCACAGCGGACACGTCGTGTGGTTCCACAGCCACTTGTCGACGCAGAGCGCACTAGCAATGCAAGATGCGTGACGCACGGCGCGGGCCCACGAGATATATACTGGAAAAAGTGCTGGCACGGCGTCAGCGTCACAATGTGGGACCCAATCTCATACGCCAATTGGCAAATCTAGAGGCTGTCAGTCGCAGCAGATGTCGTCGTCGTCGTCGCACCGTGCACTGTTTCGACGTCTCGTGGACCGTGCCGTAGGCGATCGGAAGACTGTAGCGTACTTCCTTTGGGAGTCCTCTGCACACAACAACGAAATGATATCACTTGACAAAATCGATCGAGCCACGCACTTTTCCTCGTAAAAGCAGTCGCTCTCGGGCGAACTCGTTGGCATCATCGGGTCCACGTCTTGGCACGCGGCCGTCTCTCGCCACGGCTTGGCGTCATCGGGGCGTCCACTCTCGTCCCTACTCGGAGTTGGCAATGTTTTAGACGGCTGTGGAAGCGGGTACCACACAAACGACGGGTCCATCGCATGCAGCTGGTTGAGTTCGTCGTCACTACAAGACTCGAGGGTAGGCATCACGGTCGACATGGACGAGGAGAACCTGGAGCTGCAGCTGAGACCGCCTCCACTGTCGTCGTACGCGCCAGCCTTTTCTTTGGGCGACCCGCAGCACGATGCACCGCCGCAGCTGCTACTACTGCTTGAGGACGGCGCGGGCGGCGGCTCGACGATCTCGACCTTGAACGTCTTTAGCGTTTCTCGCTGGCGCTTGTTGATACAATCTGACAAGAGCGCACGGGCCAAGTTTTCGACAACGTCGTTGGAGCGCGAACCATCCACTGGAAAAGCGAGCGGTGGCGGCTCGGCTTCGCGGGCACGCAGCGTTGCCGTTGCCGCGGGACGGAACACCACATCGTGACAGTCCCCACGGCCGAGCGCGATGCTATCGTCTTTGCTCATGCTTGTCGAGTGTGCTCCTTGTGTCCACGCCGGTGACTCCCACATGTGGTCGGTCGAGAGGCGGCGCGGCGCCGTGACGCTTTTCGCCTTCTTTGTTCGCTTGAGCTTGGCCGCTTGGTCGTCGAGGCGCTGAAACGACGTCAAGTGCGACGGCTTTGTACTTGATGTCTCGGTGTTGCCGCGCGGTGGGCGCGAATGCCACTTGAAGCAGGCATCGCCGGCGGCTGTCGTCGACGCAGAGCTTGCCGCATGCGATCCACTGCTCGGTCGTTTCGCCGGCGCTGGCGCAGCGACGCGACTCAAGCCGACGGCAGAGCTCGGGGCCGCGGCCGGCTTGGTTCGAAGGCGCGGCTTGGAGTTGGGAATGTCGATATTGCGGCTACGTGCCCCGGCGGTCGCCGGCGGGACGGCCGTCGACCACTTGGCCAGCGGCACGAAGGCCATCGCAGGCTCGTTGGGTACCGTACTCGTCGTCGCAGTCGTTGGTGGGCTCTTGTACTGCTGCTGCTGCATCAAATCGCCATGGACCGTCGCCGCTCCTGTGTTCTTTCCACGAATTGCCGCAACGCCGAAACAATGGACCGCCCGGAGCCGGAAATATATAAAAATAATATTCCGCGAGCCTATCCGGATAACCGCCTCCTCTTGTGGCGTTTCACTGGCACAATGTAGGCTACCGTATCCGGAATCTATTAAAATCACGATGATGCGACCCCATCAGCCGCACGCCCAGTGCAACCCCTGGAGCAGAAGCCAAGCGCTGCATCGTCGAGCGCCCTGATATCGCAAGTAGTGCGATGCTAGAATGCAGTAGGTACGACCAGGGGCTCGATGGCTTGTTCAAACCCGTTTCCAGGATTCGTGTTTCCTGGAACATGGATCCCGGCGCGCAAACATGTGGCTACTACCTAATACCTGCGGTGATCCATGTCTTCACCACACGCATGGAGCAAAGAAACCAATGTACGTTAGACTGATGCACCCAAGCGAGCCACCGAAGAAGGGAGCCATGGACGCGCAAGTCGTCGAGATCGTGTTGCGATCTTTTCTGTGGCTGACGCCAATGGATTGGCCAGAAGGGAACTGTGCACGCGTTTTGATTGGTTGATTTTATTGATGTCGGGGTGAGGGGCTGGGTGTACCAGGAACGATGGGAGCATGATCGCGATTCGCCGTCCGCGCACAGACCTTATCTGGATACGCACCGTCACCAACGCCCATGAGGCACACAACCAAGCCAAGGAAGAGGAGCGCCATTGTGGCCGCACTACTCGTTCGTGCACATGGTGCAGCGTCACCGCGCATCATCGTGCAATTCAAGTCGACGTCCGACAAGATGTCCTCCAGATCGCGCAAGGCGTGGATCGTTACAATCATTGTAGCAAGGAGTTTCTACGGGCTTATTGGCTTTAGCAGTGCTATGAGATCTCCCGTTTCCAGCTGGACAGGGTACAATGAGCTAGTAGTGGTGGATTCGACGTCGAGCTGCGAGCTAGCTGTTTTAACGTTAAATATTGATGTAGTCCGCAGCGCATTCGCCTGTCGACCTCGTTCACTTCGGTGTGTATGGCAAGGCAATAAAACTGGGGTGTTTTGTTTTTTGGTGTACACGTCGGTCGGAACCTCACCGCCGAATGGGCTCCTCAGTGAGGAGCCCATTCGGATGCGCTTGACAATGTTGCGAGACACTGTGGCCTCCTCGAGTGGTGTGTTGCCGACGCAGACGCGACCCTCGGCCTCAACGGGAACTGCCTTCTTGACGCACTGGACGGTTCGACTCGATGACACGCAAGGATTAAGTACGCGTCGAAGTCGTACTTTACGGGGCACTCTCGACACCAATCAAAAGATCAAGGTGGCAGAATCCATTCTTCAGCATGATGTTGCAGCAGCTTCGCTGCGTCCGGCTCGGACGCCGGTCCGCCTCGAGCTTTGCATCCATCTCGAGCGACATCAAGTACGCGTCGCTGCCAATCTCGTCGCCGTCGCTCAAGGCGCTCACCGACGTCATGGGCTACGACACGATGACCGAGGTGCAGCACGCGACGCTGCCTGCGCTTCTCGATGGCCACGACGTGCTCGCCAAGTCCAAGACGGGCTCGGGCAAGACCATGGCGTTTCTTTTGCCGACGGTCGAGGTCCTCGCCAAAGCACCTCGGCCTCCGAACGCGATCTCGGCGCTCGTCTTGTCGCCGACGCGCGAGCTTGCATCGCAGATCGACGCTGAAGCCAAGAAGCTCACGACGTTCCATGACGCAATTCAAACGCAGTGCTTTGTCGGTGGCACGTCCGTTGAACACGATATCAAGAAGCTCAAATTGCCTGTCGACATTCTCGTCGCGACGCCCGGTCGCCTCCAGGACTTGCTCAAGAACGACCACGGCAACATCGTCGCCAAGCTCCGAAAGCAAAGATGCTCATCTTGGACGAAGCCGATCGGCTTCTCGATATGGGCTTCCGCAACGACATTGAAGCGATCCTCAAGTTTCTGCCCTCGAAGCGCCAAACGATCTTGTTCTCGGCGACACTTCCGGCGTCGCTCGAGTCGATCCAGCGCCTTGCGCTCAAGAAGGACCACAAGTTTATCGACACGGTGGGCACCGAAACGGACCAAACGAACGCGCACGTGCCGCAGACCGTGACGATCTGCCGCATGAACGAGCATCTGCACGCGATCGAGGCCGCGCTCAAGGCCCACATCCACGCGCGCCCGAACGCGTTCAAGGTCATCGTCTTCTTCCCGACCGCGCGCGCCGCGGGTTACATGGCGTCGATCTTCCAGGCCGCGAAATTTCCGATCCTCGAGATGCATTCGCGCAAGTCGCAGCAGTTCCGCACCAAGACCGCCGAGCAGTTCCGTTCTGGAAACAAGCTCATCATGTTTTCGTCCGACGTCTCGGCGCGCGGCGTCGACTACCCGGACGTCTCGCTCGTGATCCAAGTCGGCTTGACTGACCGGGAGCAGTACATCCACCGTGTCGGGCGCACGGGCCGCGCCGGCAAGCAAGGCGAGGGCGCGCTCATTCTCTGCGACTTTGAGAAGAACTTGCTCAAGGAGCTCAGCGACCTCCCGCTCAACACGGTGGCCTTCCAGCCCCGCGGCACCACGACCACGACGGCTATCGACAAGGTCCTCGGCAAGATTGAAAGCAACGACGAGCTCAAGACCAAGGCCGCGCAGGCGTACCAGGCCTTCCTCGGCTTCTACGTTTCGAACCTCAAGCGCCTTAAGCTCACCAAGCCGGATTTGGTTGCGCTCGGCGACGCGTACGCCAAGGCGACCGGCCTCAAGACGACGCCGGGGCTTCAGAAGCGCACGATCAACATGATGGGTCTCACAAATCTTGGTCTTAAGGTTGAACCCACGATTGCGCGCCGGCGATAGACAGATAGAAGAGGTCGACCTCCTAATAGAATCATGTGTTTCAATAGCATTAAAGTCTTCTCATCAAGTAGTTTCTGTTGTTTTCATGCTACAATTTATACACACAAGCACCCACAACAACGAATAAAAGCTTTGTACTACCAAGTAGTTCAAGTTAAGTCTGCACCAAAACGACAGCAGCCACGCTTGCAACCAGAGCGAGTGGCGACCACACGGCGCCAACCGCGGGACTTGACGACGGCTTGACGGTTTTCGGCGCGGTTGTCGCACCGCTGCCAGCGCCGCTCGAGATCGGGTTCTTTGCGAGCCATGCGAGCTGCGACTCTTGCGTGCAAAAGATGGTGCTGCCAAAAACGACTTGATCTTGTCGTTGATCGGGCCCATGGCTTGGGCCTGAAGGAACGCCGAGCCCTGCGTCGCGATCTGCGTCTGCACGAGCGACGTCGCGTCCAGCAGCGTCACGGGCTTGCCGCTCACGTTGTACTTGATCTCAAGCGCCGGCGCAATCTGGACGCGTGTCAGCGTCAAGTTGCGCAGAAACGGAAACGTCTCATTGCACGTCGCGACCGCGGTCACTTGGATGGTCTTGGGGCCGCCACAGCACGTGTCCGTGTTGTCGAGCAGTGGGTTGCAGCCGACGCCTGGTAGACACGCGTCCACTTGCAGACTCATGGGCAACGATGCAAACGTCACGGTGGCGGCGGCTGTGATGCTGCCGTTGACGTCCGACGTCACGCTGAGCGCGTCGAGGCTGAGCGTGTTGAGGCCTCCGAGCCAGCGCGCGCGCACACTGTAGAGGCTCGTCGTCGTCGCATACAAGTCGCCAATGTTCTCGCACGGCTTGGGCGCGCCGGCCGAGCAGTTGCCAATGGACGCCGGGAGCGCGCTCGCCGCATACGCTGCGACGACGGGCTTGAAGGCGTCGATGGCGCCACCGAGGGCTTGCGGCAGGATCGGCGGCAGCGCGGCCGCGTCCATGAGCGCTGCCAGGCCGAAGAGGCAGGCGATCGCAGTTCGTCGCATGGTCAAAGTTGAAATGGATGCAAGTGCAGCGGTCGCATTAATTCGAAAGGTTTTATTGTAAATAGATAGATATAGATATACGTGTGTATTTTTAAGAACCCAGGTAAGATCGTCGTCTGGCTCAGCACTGAATTGCATGCAATCGACACCGTGCCCCGGAGTATCGTGTTGCAGACACTATCGAATAACGGTACAATAAAAACACACAAGTGTATGGTATTAAAATGCAAGCAGACTGTCAATGTCTCCTGTAAATGTGCGTGATTTTAGTGCTCGAATACTGAAACTCACGTACACCGGGCACGGGCAGATGTCGCACCATTGCTGTTTGACACTGGAGGCATTTCTCGTCTTCCGCCCGACATCGACATGCGCGCGATCGCTGCTGCTGCTGCCGTTGGCCTCGCCGCCGTCATGGCTGCGCCTGCCGACCTTGGGCTTGGGGCGCCCGTATTGCCGCAAGTGCTTTCAACGCTGCTGGACGCCTACAAGCCGCTTCTGGCCAACTACACGGCGGCGCAACTGCCGGCGACGATTGGCAACTGCGGCGCGGCAAACCCACCGACGCCGTGCATGGACTCTGGTAGCAATCTGTACGAAGACACGTCGTCGGATTGGTACAAGGTTACCGCACGCTGGATGTCGGGCATCAACACGATGAGCTTGACAAGCCTCGCCATGTCGTTCGACGACGCTGGCGCGTTGGCCCTCAACGTCGTTGTCAACTTCAAGGAGCTGCCCATGAGCCTTCGCGTCGAGGGCTGCCTCTTCAATGCGTGCGCCATGGTGCTCGACAACACCAAGTACTGTTGCGGCAGCGACAAGACGGTCACGATGACAGCGTCGGCGACATGCAACGAAACGTTTCCGTTCGTGCGCGACGTCGTCTTTTCCGACGCGCAGATCACGCCGCCGATGACGGTCCAAGTCACCGTCGCGGGCAAGGCGATCAAGCTCAAGGATATCACGACGGCCGCGCAGGATGGTATCAAGACCGTCGCGGGCTCGTTCCTGCAAACCAAAGGCATTGATCTGTTGAACAGCCAGATCAAGGACCTCTTTGGCAACAAGGTCTACTGTTCCCAAGCCTCCAAGGACAGACAGACACCAGCGCCGACGACGACACCTCCCCCCACGACGGCACGGCCCACGGTCGCACCGACTACCGTGACAGTGGGCAGTCAAGCAGGCCCCAGCGCCAAGTCGAGCGCGCCCACAACGCAGCCGTCAAGTGCCCTCGCGTCGTTGCACTATACCAGCACGGTGCCCATGCTCCTAAGCTTTCTCGTTGTTTGCATACTGCATGCATAATCGCAACGATAACAGAGTATTTTGAACCGCAAGTAGAGCCATTGGAGACTCCACACAGCGTTGCGGTTCGTTCGCTGCAGTGGGAAAGCTCTCGCAAGTGCATCGACGGGCCTCAGCTATACTTATATATGCACGCTGCTGGCATGTCCTGCACTAAGGACGTCGCGGTCGTCGCTGTGCACCCAAGAGGCCTTGTTGAAAAGATCAAAACACTGGCTCTGCTGCATCACGCAGCTCAGACCGCCATCGGAATAGTGCTGGAAAGTCTGCGTCTCAGTGGCTCGATGCGTTTTCTCCGTGCTTCCTACCTCGTGCAAGGAAGGCGCGCCGAACCTGCTAGCTGCCCGCTTTCTCTGGACGTGTCTCTGATTGGCTCTTCTGGCCATCAAATAATGCCAGCACCTCCGCGTCACACGTCGCGAGATGCCGGGCGCGTTTTTCTTGTACGGTATACTCGATTCAGGACCAGACCCGCGCAGCCGCCGCAACCCACGATCGAGTCCATTTTGGCAACGGACGAAAGGCTACTTTCTCGAGAAGCCGAGACTACTCGCCTGCCTCGTGTCGCTGTGACCGAGCTTGCTACCTCACCGGAGCGACAATCGAGCCAAGGGAATGTCTATTCCGTTGGCTCCAGCGTCAAGTGCCAATTTGCAAATTTTGACAGCACCACATAGAGCCGTCGATGAGAGTGTCCACACAGCACGAATTGTGTCTCGAAATGTATCGAACAACGACCGGCACGATTCCGACGTCGCAGTCTTTGCTAAAGCATCCCACGGTGTGGCCCGGGATATTCTGTGTTTAAGTTGCTTTCCATCGACTCGCCTCCGAAGTGCTGTCGACTGCATCGAGATGCAGAACAACTTGTTTGTCGTGCGCAGAATCAAACGCTCGCCGACCAAGCCCCAATGCAATATGCGCAATTGATAGCCAAAATGTTGAGGGCAAAGTTGAAGTTGGGCCAAGTGGTTTCGTCATCCGGAAGGATCCGGTTTTGGACGGCCGACTCAGGTGTGCATCATAACGACAAAGCACCCGAAGCCCGCCGACGACTATGACCGACGTCCACCCACTGGCGGTGCACAAGCCCGAGCGGTACCTGCCCAGCGCACACGACGTCGCTACACCGGCACCGTATATGAGTAACGAGCCCGAGCCCCAGGACGACGACGAGACCTTCCTCATGCTGCAAAAGCTCTTTGTGGCGGCGAACTGCCGCGCGGCCAGCACGACGCCGCAGTCGAACCTGTACTCGCGCGATGAAATCCTCGAGCGGCGGCGACGCCAGCGCGAGACGCGCCGCAACTCGCTCTACGAGGGCGGCGTCCACGAAGAGGCGTCGACGTCGATGGTCGAGCGACGCATCCGGTCGCGTGTGGTCCACGGCAGCTTTCGCCTCGCCCAGGTCGACCTCATGTCCCACGATCGCTGGGCCCTCGAGGACCCGATGGGCCGCCTGCACCCGATCGTGACGCGGACGAAGAAAGGGCGTCTGCGCTCGACGGTCGACAACCCCAAGATCGACGTCGTCATGACCAACGAGCACCGCGCGCTGCAGGACAGTGTGATGCAAAATCTCCTCACGACCAACGGGTCGGCCGCCCACGTGCTCCACGCCCCCAAAGCCACGTGGTACATTCGTGGCAAAGACATCTAATAACTTATTCTTTTTTCCTTTCTACTGCATGCCCATCGCGGTCTCCTCGTTGCTGTGTTGGTCGCATCGACAGATCCATGTTGACGCGAATGGATGTCGAAGCAAGACCATACACTGTTTATGGACCCTTGGCGAGACGAAGACGGATGGTGATGCAGACGTGGACATCTTGCCACCCTCACCGATTGCAGGTGCCTTCGTGCAGCCGCCATACTCGCTGTCGCAGCTCGCGTGTGTCCGAGAATAACACTCGAGCCGCGTCGAATCGCTTCGAGGCAAGCGTTCTCTTTACATACCATGCGTGCAAAATGCCATGCGTGGCTCGTCCGAGTCATGCTGCTGGACCTCCAACGGTATGCGTCGTGCAAGGTCGATCGCAATCGAGTGTGTGGACGTCTATGATATTAAGGTCGTGGTTCCTGGGGCCATATAGAAATACCAGTAACGTTAGGGAATATGGTGATTACCTTGGCCAATGTGGTCCATATTCCGGCAAGGCAGGCCCAAAATTGTACGTGGCATTACTGCATGCGAAATGGACGGTCGCCAAGGGCGAGGTCCTTGTGTGAAGAAAGTGTGGAGCATCGACCCATCGACCTGACGCTGGATTGGCTAAAAACATTTTGCTGCTGAAACGACCTCGGATTGGCTACATTTTAAACCAATGGGCGACGGTGGATGTGGATCTTTTTCGCGACGCTTCATTTCCGCATGTCCGCCGCCACGATGATGGGGAAGGACTCGCCGTTCGGCAACCTCATGGCCGAGGCAGTCAAGCTCAAGGGCGCGCAACAAGCGCAGCTGCGGCCCATCTGGGACGCGTGGCCGACCTACTTTCAGCACTCGATGTTCATGTCGGAGCCGATTCTAACGCTCCGGACACAGCCGTTCGCGGCCCGCAAAGCCGCCGCGCTCGAGATCAAGCAGAAAGGCAACGGATACTTCGCCGAGCACCAATACGAAGAAGCGGTTGCGCAGTACGAAATGGCGCTCTCGATCTTCAAGTACTGCGAGAACGCCGACCCGAACTGGAAGAAGAAGGGCATCCACGACGACGACATTAGCGTCGTCGTCTACACGCCCGAGTTGACCGCCGACGTCGTCGAGCTCACGTCGCTCCAAGTGTCGCTGTACCTCAACATTAGCGGTCCGTGTCCTTGCATCCATATACGACCTTTTACACCGCGTGCCTAGTGTGCAAAATGCGCCTCAAGGAATTTCCCATCGCGATCATCGCCTGCGACGATGCCATTGCGCTCGACAGCACGTGCGCCAAGGCCTACTACCGGTGCGCGACCTTCACTATCAAGGTATCTTCTACATGGACGCGTGTAGTCGCGCGCAAGCGCTCATCACGCCCTTGTCCTCGGGCGCGCTCGAGTTTGAAAAGGCGCTCCGCGACCTCGACACCGCGAGCAAGTTGGACCCGACCAACGTCGAAATCCGGTACGCCCTGTACATGGCGATACATGCATCCGACGACGCTTTTGCAAAGGAAGCTGTACCGCCAGCTCCGCGACGAGTCGGCCAAGCAAAAGCAGCTGGACAAGGCAACGTTCCAGGGCATGTTTGATCGCGGCGTCGTCGTCGACGCACCCAATACGCCTCTCGACGACGCCGACGCGCGGCGCAAGAAAATCGACCAAGAGGTGCGGCGGCAACGGTCTCGGTCCTCTTATATGGCGTCGTAGCTTGCCGACGCCAACGCGGTCGTGCGTATGTACGAGGCCAAAGGCGAGTTTGAGAGCGCGCGGGAGCTGCAAGCCAAGATCGACGAGGCCAAGGCGGCGGCGACACGGGGACCCGCACCTGTCGACTTTTACAACCCGACGCCCGACATGATTGCCGACGGCAAAGCCAACGGGTGCGAAAGGGCGCGGAACTATGACGTGGCAGCATACCGTGTGTGTATGTATTAGCATTGACTTGACCGACGTGCGCGTCCAAAAGATGCTCGCGGACCTCCAGGCCGAGCACGTGGCCAACGGCACGACACCGGCGTCGTCGACGAAGCCCCGACCCCGAGGTTTGCTACGTCCTGGCGAAGCGGTGATGCGACTCGCACCATAGCGGAGCTCTCGCCCTTTGATGCTGCGCTTCTCGAAGCCGACGAGATTCTCCCCACGCTCTCGGACGACGAGATCTCGACGCTCTTGCGCGGTGAAGGCGTTGTCGCCCTCGACCCTTCCGAGCGCCTCGTACACACCGAGCGTACTCTACCTGTGTTGGCTGATCGCTATGGCGTAGGCGACAGCGCGCACCGTGCTAGCGACCAAGCTCTGCCATGGCCCGTCCCCACGCCCACCCGAGGACCATACTTCCGGAGGCCAGAGCAGCCAGGCGATGAAGCCCGTGCTGTATCTTGTCTTGCTCTGGGTCCTCGGTCGTCTCTACTCGAGCGGTAGTCTCGGCATGCTCTACAGCGGCATCGCTGAGCTCGTCATGCGCCCGTCGTCGTCGCCCTTTGACGAATTTGACGAATTTTAAGCCATGAGCATGCATCCAAGATCGTTATCGTCGGTGTGTAGTAAGAAGTTGTATTATATCGCAGACAAGTAGTAAGTAGAAGAGGGGACCGGTGCTTACGCCGACGGGTCGGACCGGAACGAGTTGCGAAACGAGTTGCGGAAAAAGACCGGCGTCGCCGCTGGCGTTGCCGCGTTCGTCGACGCCGCCGCCGCCGACGGCGTCACCGGCGCCCTTCGAAAGATCTCGACGTCGGCCGCGTCCTCGTGCTTCTTGACGTCCGACGCGCGGTGTGTCGGCTTGGGCGGGAGGAGCGGCACCGACGTCGCGCGCGGCGGCAGCCGGTCCATGGGCTTGGGTGGCGTGCCCAAAAGGGCGGATCCATTGCTGCTTTGGTGTCGAAACTCTTCGAGACGGCGCGAACTCGACGTGCCCGGCATCGTAGAGTTGTATGGCGGGTTCAGATGCGGGTCCATCGGGTAAATGTCGGGCGACGCGCCGAGGTCCGGGCGGTCGTTGGCGATGAACGACGAGAGCGGCGTGCCGTTGCCGTCGTCGAGAAGGTCGTCGCTCACGATCGCGTCGGCACCGCGCCGGCTTGCGACCGTGTCCTTTGTGTGGAGCTCGTCGACGAGCGACTCGACAGCGACGAGCGCGTTCGGGTCCTCGCAAAAGTACGTAAAGTCCTTAAACGTAGGGTCCTGCGCCGGCGCCGGTGCCTTGCGCTGGCTCCGCGGCACAAATATCCTCTCAAACTTGTCAAAGAGGATGTTTTTCGACGCCTTGTCCGTTGGCGACATGACCTCTTCCGAGACGTCGAGCTCGGTAAACTCGGAATCGACATACTTGACGTCCAGCGTCGACGTCTACAATCATCCATTCAATCCAATTCAAGGACAACGTGGAGATATAGGTACGTACGAGGTGGGGCTTCCACGGCGCCTCAATTTCTTTTGGAGCAACTTGTCCCAGTTGATGTCGGCAAAGTACGGGTGCTGGAGGATGTCCGAGATCGCGCTGCCGTAGCGCTGGTGCGGGTCCTTCCGGAGGAGGCCGAGAAGCAAATCTTGGAGCTCGCGCGACGTCTCGGGCGTCGGCGGAAACATGACCGGGTCGTTCTGGATCTTTTGGTACATCTTTTCAATGTTGCTGTCAAAGAACGGCGACTTGCCAATGCTCATTTCGTAGAGGAGGATGCCGAGACTCCACCAATCGGCCGCCTTGCCGTACGACCGCTTCGCCTTTGGCAAGAGCAGCTCCGGCGCCGTGTACTGCGGCGAGCCGGCCATCGTCTTGGCGCCTTTAAACTCCGACACGTGCAGCTTGGCGAGGCCAAAGTCCACGAGCGCAATGTGGCCGTCGGCGTCAATCATGACGTTTTCGGGCTTAATGTCTCTACAAGGCATGATGCCGACACGATAGAGCAGTCGTCGTCGTACCGGTACAGAATGTCGTGCTGGTGCAAGTGATGAATGCCAAGGACGAGCTCGGCCGTGTAAAACTTGGCCCGCGCGGCCGAGATGCGCGAACTCGAGCCCTTGGACATGTGGTGGAAGAGATCGCCGCCGTTGTAGTAGTGCATGCCGAGGAAGAGCTTGGTCTGCGACTGGAACGCGATGCGCAGGCCCGCAATGAACGGATGGTGGATGTTTTGGGCCACGCGCATCTCGGTGAACGACGACTCGATGTCGTACTTGGTCATTTTGCCTTTTTCGAGGATCTTGAGCGCGTAAATCTGGCCGTCGCTCTTCTTGACCGCGCTCACGACTGTGCCAAACCCACCCTTGCCGATGACGTTGTAGACGGTAAAGTCCTGGAGCGAGATCGAGAGCGCGCGCGTCGAGCGCATGGCCGCAATGACCTCTTCCGAGTAGATGGTCTGCATGCCGAGTGCGTTCCAGTTGCCTTTGGCCATCTTGGTGTCGATTTCAATCTTGAGCCGAATGATCTTGCCGTACGGACCAAACCGGATGCGGTGGACCCACGGCTGGACAACGTCGGCGCCGTTCTGCTTGGACCGGAGCTTCTCGTGGCCCTTGATGGTCGCGACCTTGCCGTCGCGCTCCATGGTGACGTCGCTGATGGTGAACTCGAGGATGTCCATGCTCTCGCGGAACGTGCTGAGGAAGAAGAGGATGCCTTCGCGGCCGAAAAAGTCGCCGTGGAACGGAAACTTGCGCGGGTAGTAGGACGAGAAGACGAGGTCTGCGCGCGTCGCATGAGCCAGGATGCGATCGAGAATCCACTACCTTTGTTGAAGTAGGCGAGGAACTCGTCCACGAGGTTCGGTTCGTTCGAGAGGACGCGCCGGTAGAGCGAGTAGAGCGTCTCCGCGTTGCAAAACGGCGTCTTGGAGAGAAGCGAGCTGCCGTAGATGGACTGGCCGGCGTTGTTGAGGTTGAACCAGTCAATGCCCGCCTGCGGCAGACCATGAGGTAAGCGGTGCCATGTCGTCGTCGTCCTACCTGCATGACCTTGACCCACGCGATTTGGTCGAGCTCGGTCGTCGTCGAGACGTGGAACGGCTTGCCTTCTTGTGTGTCAAAGGTAAAGTCGTAGCCATGCGCGCTCTTGCCCTCGATGATCTGGACGCGTGTGAGGTGCACGCGGCCCTTGAGGTGGCGCCGCTTCCGCGCGTCTTCCTTGCTCTCATAGTACGACAGCAAATTCGACTCGAGCGTAAAGTAGCGCAGCTTCCAGTTGCGCACGAGATGGCCCTTCTTGGAGACGAAGCCTTCCCACTCAAAGCCGCTCTGGAGGTCGAGCGACTCGAGGTTCTCGGCGCGGCTCGCGTCGTAGCTCGTCTCCGAGAGGAAGGGCGCCGAGCGGAGGCCGGCGCTAGGCTCGTCCATGCCTGCGAGGCAGGTGCTGCTGAGATTCCGGGACGACATGTCGAGCGCGTTGCCCCCCATCTGCGACGCTTCGTTGCCCATGCTCGTCCGTCGGCGAAAGCAAAATCCCAACAAGTCAATTCACGCCACGCGTATCCGGACGGGCCGCCACGCACCGTTGCCAACATTGCTGAGGCGCGAGAATGCATATTGTCTCGTGCACCGTCTATCACCGCGCCGCAAAGACGCTCAACGACGCAATGCTATTCCTCGTGCAAGGTGCTAATATATCTTGCAATCGGAGAGCGGGCCAAAGACTAGGCGCCGTCCGAGCGTGGCCGCGCCACCTTGAAGAAGCTGTCGCATGGTCGACGCCACGTCCCTCGGCGCGGGTTCTTGGTCGCTTTCTTTCCGGTTTCTATACAAACGGTTAAGATACGGCTACGTCGGATGCGAGAGCGTGGGAGGTCGTGTTGGCGTCAGGCCTGGATCATGTATGCAGTCGACGCGCCAAGCTCGCATGCGAAGGGCCACGAAGACCTTGGTGTTTGTATGGGCTTGACGGGCCGCGCACGGGTGGCGACAACGAGCACCAATTTGCAACGCGTGCGCCGCGGCAGTCACGGTATTACGACAGCTTGAAGCCTCCGCGCTCACGTGGACGCTCGATTCGTCTTCCATGCTGAAGGAGGAATTGGACGGCGGCGAGTTGCGTGGAATTAGCGACCGACCAAGCCCCAGATTCCATCGGCGCCGTAGAATCTCCACGTGGACAACGTGGACGTAATGGGGCTGGAAAAATATGCATCCGACCCGCCCGGCGCGTCCAATTAATTGGATTTTATTATATTATTGCACCACGCATGCCGCCGTCTCGTGGGCCTGATCATCGCCGCAGCTTGGTGGCTGCTGCGGCTCAAAGTATTAGGACAGATGATTGCTAGCTACTCAACGACGAGCTATCAGGTGACGGTCCGCCGGTCGTGCTGCAAGAATGGGGCTCGGCACAGTGGCGCACGTGGGATACTTACTTGGACGCGACGAGGCCGGCCCGTTGTTGGGCGGGCTCACAGGCGAGAAGCACTGGTCGTGCCGGTAGCTCGGACTGTCAAAACAAGGTATCGCGTGGTCACACCGAGGTGCAATTATATGAAATAAGTTAAAACTACGGAGGGTCTATACAGAAAACTAGACGACAGGGATAAATAAGATGGCCCTTCGCTTAGGCCATGCTGGTCTTGCGCGCGATGCGGCAGAGGTCGGTAAAGTGGCCGCGGCGGAAGAGTGGGTGGCTGTACACGCACGACGAGGCGCGGGCCTTGGAGGCCTTGGTGAAGCCGTACATGTTGAGCTGCTGCTGGAAGCTGCGGTACTTGTTGTGCTTGAAGTACTGCGGCAGAGCTTCCCACGCGAGCTTGGACGAGTTGACGACCGTAAACGAAGCACCGTCGTCGCTCCAGCAGATGCGCTCGCCATTGTCGGACGAGATCATGTCGTACAGACCGCGGATAAAGCGCGCGGCCGAGAGGCCCGAGAGCTCCTTCGTGTTGTAGTCGACCTTGACCGGCTTGGGCGAGTCGCACGACGAGTCCGTCGTGGGTGAGCTCGACGGGCTCCACGATGTCGCCATCGACGGCACCATTTGATGCAACGACGGCAGGCGAATGTGGTGGAGCGGCGACGTCTGGCGCGTCTCCGAAAGCGCCGGCACGCTGAAATGTGTGTTGAACAATGGCTTCGAAGCTGGCAAGTCGTCGTCACCGTTCGAGAGGACAAACGACACAGAGTGCGGCGAGAGCGAGCCAGTTACCGGGCTCAGCGGCGCGGCCGGGATGACCGGTGATGGCAGCGCCATCACGACAGGCGACGAAGGGTCGCTCTCCATGTCGGTCGAGCTCTCGTCCTTGGCCTTCTTGCTGCTCTTGCTCTGGCGCTTGACGTAGACGAGCTCGTCGAAGTTGTCGCGCGTAAAGTGCTCGCGCGAGTACGTCGAATGCATTGCGCGCGACTTGGACCACTTGCGGAAGCCAAAGTAGTTGAGCTGGCGCTGGAAGCTGGCAAAGTTCTTGTTGCGAAAGTACTTCGGCAGGATCTTCTCGGTCATCGTGGCCTTGTCGAGGATCTCAAACGCCTTGCCGTCCAGCGTCCAGCGGATGATCTGGGGCGACTCACGGCGGAGCATCTGGTGCAGGTGCAGCAGGAACGGGGCGACCCATCCGCGCTTGCAGGCTTCCATCTGCATCGGCACCGAGAGGTTGGCGGGCATGTTGATGTTCATGCTCATGCCCATGCTGAGGTCGTCGAGGCTCGATGGCCGCATCGTTGTTGGCGCCGAAGGTTGCATCGCAAGCATCATCTTGCTGTGAGGTGTTGAGGTGATAAGAGCAAAATCGCTTATGGTGTCAACCCTGGCGGTGGTCACGAAAATGCGTTATTATTATTCGTCGTCGGCAATATTTTTATTTCAAAGTCCGTGAATCTGGCACTGGCCGAGATGCCAATTAATTGTCTTGGTCGCAAATGCCCTCGGCATATACTTGCATACTTTATGTACAATTGTAGGGAGCAATATATGACGAGAGATTCTATTATATTTGTGCGAATATTAACACCTATAATTAAAAAGCTTCTGCCAAAACAATATCAGAAAGCCCGCGCATCAGAACCAACGGCCCCGTCTGCCAGATTCTTTTCAATAGTTTCTTTGAGTGTATCGAATCATTTCTGTTACAGCGCCTGTGATTGGCCAAAATGAATTCCACGGCCATCGCCCAATGGTTGGTGAAGATTCGAATGCTATTGCAATTGAATCCAAAAACGTGGCCCAAAAAAAGAACCCGCCTGGGTTCGACCAATCAGCGTGCGTTCTGCGAAAGGCCGTTTCACTGGCGACCAAAGATCCGCGTTGCGAGCGCGTTCTTTTTCGCATTGGCGTTTCCATACAAACACCCAGTGAAGTCAATTCAAATCCCCAACGCAAAATAAGAAAAAGAATCTTCTGAATCCGGATAAGAATATCCGTAGATTCGCTGGGCTGTGGGAAATCCACACCGCCTTTCCCACAGCACACGTCGCTCCCATGCGCAGTCTTACCGACGTCGGAAACGTGTGGGGAATGACATTTACAACATCACGGACAGTCAATTTGCGCATGAATCTAGGGTGTGGATCTTGGATTCCAAGTTGCTTCAACGCGCCATTACGCATGCTAAAGCCCGTTGATGCGCCAGATTCGGTCGTGCGACCTTTCTTCAAGGTCATTCTACCGGTACTCCAATGTCAGTGCTCGACGTAAGGTGAACCTTTGACGAAGGACGAGTGGCGATCGGGTGCCTCTTGATGAAAAGAGATTTGAGTGGCGACAAGGAGCAATACGAAGGAGGATCCGAAAAACAAAAGTGGAAATTCGGCATAGCGTATGATGATGGCGACGCAGGCGGAGGATGCGGCGCTACGAGTCGATCTAGACAGTCGTATAACGGTTCTATGGCGCTGGGCCGGGGGCACGTCGGCTGCGTCACTACACCGGGGAAGACGTTGCGGGCGTCTTTGCATCCTCATCAACACACACTTTCCTGTCTCTCCAGCGACATTGTGGGTCGAGTCGGAACTGTTTGAACAACACGTCTCGGTGGTGCAACCAACGCTCAACTCTTTCTTGGCGAGACGAAGGATACGTGGCAAGCTCTTTGTGTTGGTGGCATTGTCCATTGAAACCAAGAGATAAATGGTCAGGTCCTGCAAAGGTAGTACCAGACTACCTTAAGATACGATCGATTCGAGTTGTGCCCGTCCACGAACGCCCTTTGCCCAATTTTGCGTCGAATTCGTTTTAGTCTTAAAAACACAAGAAAGTGACGGAATGACAAGATACGTGCACGCTCGATGCGCCGCCGAAAACTATTCCTGGGCATTCCGAAATCATGAAAAAGATGCATGGATTGGATTAAACGAGCTCGACGTCAACGTTTTTCATGCCGTTGCAGTGACAAAATGCCCACGAGCGGCGATATTGACAGCGCCGTAGCTTGTACAGCCTGGCTCAAAACGCGCAACCATCATAGTATCGTCGATCCAGACAAATTCAAACGCCAATGCCTCTACACACCACACAAAGAGCCATTTCCATTTGTACGTATCGTGCGCGCTCGAGCGATACCTCATGTCGACTCTACCACTGCGCGAAGGGAGACATGCGATGCGTTGTCGCGAGTTAGCGGTTGAGATGGCTGCAAGTCATCCATATTGAACTGTTGTGGGGTGGTGTCAGACCTCACCAGTACTACCTGTCCGTAAGCTTGAGTGTACCTGTGGCCGATATTGGCCGCCTCACTGACGCCGTTCGCTCGTGGCGTTCGTTGGCTTGAGGGTGAAAGGAATAAGCGTCGTCGTTGAGAAATTAGAAAGGTGCACTCGGTGACACAAAAAAACACGTGTCGAGGCACCTATGACGATGCACACCAAGTACACAGCTTCCGGCTTGACTACACCGCTGCACCGCGAGTCAATAGCAGCAGCTAGAGGAGCCAAGATAAAGATTCACTGCAATAGTGTAATATAATTTGACATGAAATAGTGTAATTATGAGGGCTTGCCCCGGCGCGGCGGCACTCGGATGGGCAAACCGAGTCTGAAAACGAAATCGCTCATATTTGGTGAGTGTATTATATACATGTAGGAGAGCTCAAAACGCTATGTCACGTCGGCGTTCGAGGCGTATATCCTGAGTTATCGATACCTGAAGTTTCAAACCCCCCTCAATGCGATCTTGGTGTACAAGACCCCACACACCATGACAGACCTTGCAGGTGTTCTCTTTTAATGAGTCAAGCGTGGGCGATATTGTATTGCAACGAGAGTTGGTCGATTGAGAGGACTTGTCGAGAAGGTGCAACGACGTGTGTCCAGAAGCTAGTACTAGTATTGTAATTGGCAAATACCACAGTACATAAAACAAACAGCCCTACACTTCCCGTTGAATGCCGTTTTACATTCCAAGCCCCAAGGTGTGTTCGCTTCCGCTGCTGCCTGGCATTCTAGTGCCGCAAATGTTGGAAGACGTACGTATTGTTGTTGTTGAAGTGGGTCGTCTATTACTATAGATGTAAACTATGCTAAATAAGAATGTAGGACTTTCTTCGTTGTATGTACTCGGTTGAGGGACTTGATTTAGGCAGTCTGAGGCAGGAGCGCGTTTCGCGGGACGAAGTGACGTCGCGGCCACTCGTGTTGGGCCAGGAGCCGGAGAAGCCGACGAAGAGCAGGCTGCTCGGGCTCTTGTACGAGGCTGTGGTGCAAGTGCAGTTGAGCGACACGCGCCGCCTTGACGGCAATCGTCCATGGACTTGGCAGCGGTAGGTCGGCGCGAAAGACGCGGTCGTTCCGGACTCGCCAGACGTTGAACCAGACGCAGGCGCGGAGCACGGGCCAGAGGTAGCGGAACGCGGCTTGGTGCGTGCTGGACGCCGTCTTGGGCGTCGTGTAGAGGTAGCTGGAGAGCGTAGTCGGCAAGGTCACACCCAAAGGGACCGTGACGGTGTAAGAAGTCTGAGCCACGCAGTGTGCTGTACCGTGGCACGGTCGGAGATGCGTGTAGTAGAATGCAAATATGAAAGTGATATTGTTCGTTATGTAAGCTAGACCAGTGGTAATATGTGCGTAGTAAGTAGTCTTGTTGGTCTAGATCGGGAGCCGCTGTGTGATTTCTAACAGACGGCGTGAAGCGTGCTCCACACGTCCTTGATGTAGTCGCAGTCTACGAGGAAGTGGCGGTACGTCTCGTGCGCGGGGCAGAAGAGGCACGCTTGGTCGGCCCTGTCGAGCCAGTGCAAATGTGCGCGGAACTTGACCGCGCGGAGCATCACTTGGTAGTGTGCTTCACCGCCGTGTTGAGACCCAAGCCCTGAGAGGAGGCTTGGACACAGTGATGCAAATTGGAGAGTGAATTATGTAGTTATGGATGAACTGGTCAATATTGTCGTAGACACGCAATTCAAAAGACACGCAGGACCAGCTTGGAGAAATGGGGACGTGGGTGGACAAGGCCCTACTGGCCGGAAGTGACGTCAAGCCGACGGTTTTGGCGGCCCCCAACGTGTGCTGACATTCACGGGCCAAGGGTCAACGATCTCGGAGAAGGTCGTGCTTGACCTCATCTTGCCCGCTGGCAGCAGCTCGCTCAAGCTCCAATCGCTCCCCTGCATGATCCAGGAGGACGAGCTGCCAGTCTATTGCGGCGATCTGCTGGTGTCTCGTCACGTGATGCACCAACTCGGCTACGACCCGACGTCTCTCCTCCAGAAGGCTGGCGAGATCCGTCGGGTCGTAGCCTTGGCCTCGGCTACACGCTGTTGGAGGATCTCGCGCACTTCGCGTCGTTGGATGTCGAGCGGGTCGG